AAGAAAGAAGAAAAGAAGGAAAGAAAGAGGAGAAGGAAGGAAGGAAGGAAATAAGGAAGGGAGGAGGAAAAAGAAACCACAGTAATACATGAACTTTCAGAAAAGAAGAGAAATTATGATTCCTAGGGGTGGGAAATGGTGAGGGGGAGGAGAATTGGGGAGATACTGTGTAATGGACACAAGAAAAATTACAATTTGTAATGACGAACATGCTAATAATACTAATTTGATCATCACATATTGAACACAAATACTGATAGTCAACCCTTAACCCATAATATATAAAATCAATTTTGTTTCAATTAAAAAATAAATGAAAAAATGAATTGAAAAATAGAATTTTTCTTTCTTGCCAAATAAGCCACCACTCCTGGTTCCTTGTTTTTAACATTAATTGCAAGGTAACTCCATAGTAAGTCTTGAACTTCAAAAAATAAGAAATAACATGAACTAATTTTATGAATGTTACAGTTTACACCTAGAAAACCAGCAGTTTTTTTTAAAATTTCTGTCAATTGCAGGAAAAAAATTCCAAAATCAAATTTCACATGCACATAATTGCTTTAAATAGAGTAAACTGAGGCTTGTTTATCACTTGTTATGGACTAGGAGTCATATCATGAACCTCTTTGTTATATTTACAGCAATTACAGCAATTGCATTAGAAACTAACAGATGCAGGTGGTGTCTTCCCTTTTAGAGGGACCTTTTTCAACATCTTTAAGGAATAATTTTAATTGGTTGATGCATGCAAAATTAGGTATGTGAATTTACTATAAAAATAAGTACTAATTCCAAATAAATAAACACAACATTTATTTGTGGAGCATTTCTATTAGTAAAGTATTAAAGCCTTTGACTGCCAAGAGGTTTGGGTTTTTTCTGTGAATGTGTTTTGTTTTTTGTATTGCTGTTATTGTTGTTCTTGATCAGGTAAAATTGTTCTAGGCATGGAAGACATAATTAAACTGTCATTCCCTCAAGGACAAACCTTGAGGTTATCATTCAGTTTTCATCTTTCCTCACTGCCCATATCTAATCTTGGTGAAAAATCCTACTATCCTGCCTTCCCAGTGTTTGCTACATCTGCAATGTCCTTCGACTCTCCACTGCCCTAGTCATCAACCCATTCTAATATCATGATGCTGGTCACTGAACTTCTACACTCATCTAGTTTCTCCCATCTCTGTTATATATTACACACTAATGACAAATTTGCTTTCCTAAAACTTTTTTTTTTTTAACTCCAGTTGCTCCGAAGTACAAATCTTCAAATAACCCTAACTTGCCATTTTAGAGCTTCTATAATCATATGATGTGTTATATTTCTGCTTTAGCATTAGATTATGTACAATAATTAGCAGAATGACTGGTTCCTGGCAATAATTCAACAAATTTTAGACCAGGTCTTCCCTAAATACCATATCCCGTTCCTAATATTTTCTTGCCCTTAAATGGTTTTTATCTTCTTCATTCTGTGAAGCCAATTTCAAGGGCCAACTACTGCATAATCCTTCCCTTGATTTCTCTTCTCTTTCTATCCCCTCATAGAATTAACATTTACTGTTAATTGGACAACTGTTAATACCCTGAAATTTATATGTCCTAGGCATATTATGGACCCTGCAAATACACAGTTTCAATTGTTCCAAAAACCTGGGATAACTTGCTTGCTTGGGACCTAAAAAGTAACTTATTTAATCCTTGATTCAGATTTCACAGATTCAATGACCATTGACTTAAAAAAAAAATCATTTGTCCCTAAAATAAAGATCACTTTACAATCTCAAAGTCTGGTTAAATGGATGGCATTGTACAGAAATTTTTGAAGATTCTATGTCCAAATAAGAACTTTTGTCTTATTCAACTGTTATTCCTACCAATGCTACCATTACTATCTTATGAGGATTTTCAAAAATGTTGTAATTTAATGAATTCCATGGAAAGTCTGATATAGTTACTGAAATATCTTTTTAAAGATAATCTCCACCAGATGTCCAAAATTACCTTGATCATTGTCATATGACAACTGAGTAATCTACAGATCAATTACAATGTTAATCAATATGCAAAATGCTATGCTTGATGTGTTCTCAGCATAGTTATGCTGTCCAAATTTTATTCCAATTTCAGGATTTATGATAATTTAAATAGGTAAGTAGGGGATGATTACTGTGTGCTTGTCACTATACTGTGAATGTAAGCAAAATAATACAGCAAACACACAGCCTAAGGAGAGAGATGATCAATCATATTCCAGTACAATTTCTAGAACAGAAGTTTCAATAAAGAGCCCTGAGAAGGAAGACATTTCACTAATAAATGAAATGGAGGCAAACTGCCCAAAGATGACTTTTTAGAGATTTAACATCTAAGTTTTATCTCTATGGATGACTACAATTTTGGTCAAGTAGAGAAAGGAAGAATGGAGTTTCCTTGAAGAAAGGGAAAAGTATAAAATATACTCTTACTCAAAGCAGGAAAGATCATGGTGGTTTGAGAAGCAAGAAATCCAATTCATTAGGTTGGGTAGAATCAAAGGGGAGGCATGAAGAAAAATAAAATAGACATGATGACTGGGACCAAATTGTGAAGATGACTTATTGGTCAGGATAAGAAGTTTGATTTCTGATGGCAGTGTGGAGCCCTGAGATAGGTATAAACAGAGAAATGGCATAGTTAAGGTTGTGTATTAAACTATAATTCTATAATTAATAGGCAAAACTGACTGGAGAGGGTAAGAAAATAGAGTCAAAGAAATGAGCCAAGACATTATTAGTCAATGAAAGAAAGAAGAGTCTGAACAAAAGTGGTTGTGTTGCTGGAAATGAAGAACAGGGGACAAATTAGAAAAACATTTGGAAGCGGAACTAATATGACTTCAACATTTTGTGGGAGGAAATTGAAAGGGGAATTAAGACAACTTTCAGCTTTTTACGTTGGTGAGGTAAGAAGGACAATGACCGGAGGCCACTAACTATGGCAGATTGGCTGTTTCAGTGAGCTTTCAGAGTACAGAGGTGAACAAAGATGAGGTTCCAGAAAAAATGAAGGCTGCATTTAATTGTTTTCTGAGGGATTGATATGTCCCAAGAAAAGAAAAGGTGAGATAAAAATCTGATACTTACGGGCCAGCCCGGTGGCGCACTGGATAGTGCACCGCTTGGGAAGCGCGGCGGCGCTCCCGCCCGAGGGTTCGGATCCCACATACAGACCGGTTCCCGCTCACTGGCTGAGCGAGGCGCGGGAGCAACACCGAGGGTTGCAATCCCGTTACCGGTCCCCGGTCCGGTGCGGGGGCAACACTGAGGGTTGCGATCCGTTGCCGGACACGGAAAAAGACAAAAGACCAAAAAAAAAAAAAAAAAAAAAAAAAAAAAAA